AGCCATCTTTGCTTTAGTGTTTGGAGGCGACCAGCAGCAGCCATGAGGGCATATGGAGACTAACGTACCGCTTCAAGCCGCCACACATATACATCCTGTTCACACTTACGGTGCGGCGACTTCTTCGGTAACTCAAGTACACTTGAAGCAACCCAGAATTTCCCCTGTAAGACTGCGCAGAAGCCTGCGAGTGCACGCAGTGTCATGTTTTGGATGCAAAAGAATGCCTGCGAGTGGCCACAAGCCCCGGGCTCACCTGATTTTGTAGGTGGCCACCTCCACCACCTTCTTCAAGACGTAGGACTGCACCACGGCCAAGACGGCGGAGAACGTGATGAACCTGTCCCGCGTGACCAGCTCCGACACGTACTTCACATCATCGTCATCCTTGGCGCCGCTGATCGCGATTGCCTGGTGGTCCAGCATCCCGCCGCTGTGGCAGGTGTCCGCCGAGAAGGTGAACTTGCAGCCTGCGAGGAAGTGGTGGAGCTATAAAGATCGTGCCCTTGGCTGCACAGGAGATGTACCGAAGAAATCCAAAGATCATGCCCTTGGCTGCATAGGAGATGTCCCTAGAAATCATAAGATCATGCCCTTGGCTGCATAGGAGATGTCCCTAAGAAATCATAAGATCATGCCCTTGGCTGCACAGGAGACGTCACGAAGAAATCTAAAGATCGTGCCGTTGGCTACACAGGAGAGGTCACGAGGAAATATGAAGGTACAAAGGCTGTGTGCTTGGTAGAATGGAAGACGTCACACGGGCGGAAGAGGAGGCGCTGCGCCCTGGTGGGCGCCCAGGGAGGGTTCCGAAACCCTCTTCCCCAACCACTTTCCCAACAGCTCGGCGATTCAAAGGGAAATTGCAGAGGCCGGACGCGAGCCGCCAACACTGAAGTACTGCATGTGCTGCACTGCAGCGGTCAGCAGAGTTTTGGTCCTGCGAGGGCCAGCTCGAAGCTGCAGCAGGTTGCGTGTCCCAGCGTCAGACCAGCATGTCGACAACTTCGCCCCACGTCACCAAACCCCGCTGAGGGCCCCGGCACCACACTCCCAGCACGGCCCTCCGGAACCCCTCCCCCACCCTCCACTCTTTGCGACCACCTCTCCCCCCCCCACCTTCTCGCCACCGCGCCCGGCCGCCCGTTCAAACGTGGAGGCGGCCTTCGCGCTCGCCCCAATGGCACATTGGCGAGATTCACGCCGAGAGACTTCGACCCTCAACCGACACAAGTCGGAAACTCGGCTGCCGCTTCCCGCGCCAGTCAAGGCACCCACTGGCAGTCCCCCGCCTCCAAACGACGCCCGCGCCAAATGTTTTGAAGTGGGTGGGGGGGGGAAGGGGAGGGGAGGGAGGAACTGCTCATAAATTGCGATTTACGACGATCAATTGCTTGTTGCAGCCGCGGCAACTGCCACGTCGGGGTTTGGTCCCAGCGTGCCGCGGAGGACAGCGCGGCAGCCCCCACGCCCATTTCCTCCCCTTCCTAGCGGGCGCAGAGATCGGCGCGCGCCGCGCCACCCACCCGGGTCCAGCGGTCCAATGATCTCCCGGATGTCGTCGTCCACGATCACGTTTCCGTCGCAGGGGAACAGCGCCTCGTCCTTGGCGTCCGTCTCCTCGTCCGCCTCGTCGTCCTCCAGCTGCGTGCCGTGGCCGCTGAAGTGGAAGAATAGCACATCCCCCGCCCTGGACTCCGCCACGAGCCGCCGCAGCGCGCCCTTGATGTTCTTCCCCGTGGGCTGCACCCCGTCGGCGTCCGTGTCCACCATGACCTCCACGCACTCGGGGTCGAAGCCGTAGACGCTCTCCAGGACGTCTTTCCAGGTGGCCACGTCGTTGGCGCAGCCCTGCAGGTGGTAGGCCTCCGGCAGGCCGCCGTAGTTGCAGCCCACCAGCAGGGCGCGCTTCATCATGGCTGCGGGGTCCGGGCTTTGGCGGGGCTGGCTGTTTGCTGGCGGCTGCGGTGGGCGGGGGCAGGGCGAGTCCGGGGAAGGGACTGGAACCGCGGTCTTAAGAAACCGGAAGTCGGTCACACCATCACGCTTTTGCATGGCGTCACGGGGCTGTCGCTGTCGCGTGCCACGCGGTTGTACACGCGGCAGGTGTTGTACAATGTACAGTGTACATTGGGGCCAGATTCCGCTGAGCACGAGCGGTGTGGCCGCGCATTGGGCCGTACTGCTGGCGGCAGAACACCTGGGTGGGACGCGGGCGGCCGCGTCCCAATGTTCCTGGCGCCCGCAGGTTCGCGAATGTGCTTCGCTTCCCGGTGGTGCTTCGTGCTGGCTTCGGTGGGGACACTTGTCCCTGGGAGGATACAGAGACCCTCTGTCTTCTCCATGAGGACCCCTTCTTCTTCCGCTGACAAGGCCAACGTTGGCCAGTGAGTCAGTGCTTTAGGGTTGAGGGTGTCCAAAGGCAGCCACCCCCCAGGCGCTGGTGGCATTCTTCGCGCATCCGCAAATCTCTTGAGAGTAGTCTTGGGCGGCGGGCCGCCTTGCATGCAGTCGTGCACGAGTCAGCGACTCTGGCATGACCATCGCTCACACTGCAGTGGCTGGCTCGCTCACTTGGGCGAGTTGTGCCTGACCGGCACCCACACTCACCCCCCATCGTTCAAGCCACTGTCCGGGACGGTCAAGCGCCCAGATAAAGTCACACATGTGTGTGTGAATTTACGAGCAAGCGTGCTCGCAAAGGGTGCAGAGCACGACGGCTGACTCGCTTCCTGGCCGTGCAGCTTCTGGGCACCTCACGCACGACACGGGTTCTGTTTCTGAGATTCTAGCAACCGGCGCCTTTGTCAGAACCAAATCCTGGCGCAAGTGGCTCTGTCAGGCGCACCAATCTTCGCAAGTGCAAATGTGAAGCGGCTTGTGGGCGCAGAATGGCACGCGCATGAAGGTCATGCAGGGCAAAAGGCAGAGGAGACAAGTCGACTTCGGAAACCTGTGTAGTTTCTCGCCGCCAGACACAAACGACTCAGCGATGGCTAACCGCGTCCCCATCTGTGCGGTCAGTACGAGATACACTCCCAACATCGCCGCCTGTCCAAAAAGTGTTCTAGCTCTGGTTGGCAGTTTGATGGCAGCGGCGAGGGACTTTGCGGCGGCTGTGCTTCCACACTGGACGATTCACATAACTGCTGGACTGTCTCGCTTTTGGCAATTGGATTCAGTTAATGTCGAAGAAAATATGGAACACGATGGATCGCAGTATGCTCAGAGCAATGGAAGCATTGCCGAATTGTGTGAGGGCTGGATCATACACTTGCAAGGCAAACGCGCCTGTGCGCGTGTCAAAGTTGTCGATTGCATCACACGATGATAGACGCCTTTTCACCACCCAATCTCATTTAGCGATGGCCAGAAACACAAAAAAAGCCTGACTGGAGGGTGCCGAACTTGAAGCTTTCGTTAATCAACCAATATCTCCGGTTCAAAAGGGGGGCCCTTTGTTGATTCCTTAAAAAATCAGAAGCAAACTCTTGCCTAAGATGTGGATTCAGCAGCTGGTGACTGGAATTTGATTCTGTGCAGGGCAAGCTCCGCTTGAGGCATAGTAGAAGAAGCGTGTCAGCTGATTCTGGAGCATCGGTGCCCTCGCTTACGTCCCTATGGACGAATCTCTACATCACGCGTCACTGCGAGACAATGTGTTGGACAAAATACGCAATGTATGGAAGTAACTCTCGCATATGTATTTCATCCACTGACTACACCTGGCGCACACGCCACAGCATGTTTCGGCCTCCTGGTCCAGTTCAGCATCCAGGACCACTGGGAGTCTGACAGCTCTCCAGACATCAAAGGCGTTTCAGGCGTGTAAGGCAGTCTTCTGGCCGCAAACCTGTCTTCAACCACCCCAATCCCCACCCTCCGTGTTTGTCCCAAGCCGCGTAGTTGGTGAAACGAGACATGGAAAGCGAATTGGCTTTCATCGCCATGGTTTGGACGCATTTCGAGGGAAGGAAACAAGGCGCCAGGTGCCATACACGTGCCGCGTTTTGGCCGCATTTTCTTCAATTCCCTTCCATGTGTCTGGGCTAGCCTTAACAAGTATCGAGGTCAATGAATTGCGAGCTCAACGGGCATACGGAACACCCTGTGCAGACCCAGGGGCCAATCCAACATTGCCAAATTCTACACAGAATTGCGCATCTGTGACGAAAGACTTCAGTCGCGCCAACTTTGCTGTTCCTCGAAGCATTGTCTTGTTGGCAGCAACAAGTACATTTGTCGTGCAATAAAACAAATCAGTAAGCACGCAGCACACTACTTCGACTGCGACAGTGAGCCACTCTCGGGCCTCCATGACGATACAAAGCTGATGCGACATGACTGGTAGTGCCTTCTGTGGCAATCTCATTGCTGTGCTTGCCCGCGGCGATTAGTTCAAATCAGTGCCTCTGTGAGAAAGCTCGAAGAATTCGTTCTTGTGATGATGTGGGCAGCAGCAAGCATCCGGGGAGCCCAATGGCTGGGCAATTGGATGCAATGAGAGGCAACGTGGAAAAACCATCACGCCATTTTCAGATAGCTTCTTAAGTATCACCAGTCTTCACATTCCATGTTCGCAAACCAGAGCCCACACACAAATTCACCAGTAAAACTCCGCCCCCCCCCCCCAAATAAGTCAGCATAGTAATATATGAGATCGGCCAATGCGGCAGGATGAAACCGAAACGCATAGATAAATATGTCCAAACAATACCCGTATTGGCCGGTCCACACAAGTCATCAACAAAAATCAGCTCTTCCCTTTGTTTCGCCGCTCTGCGAGCTTCTCTTCACCAACCTGCTTCTGTATATCATCGAGAATCTTTCCAGGGTTGAAGAATTTGCTCTGGGCCTGGTACCATCCGCCGATCTTCTTGTCCACCGTCCATTTGGTCTTGATCTGCAAAGCATTGAAGCGGTGTGAGAAAGGCAGGAGCATTGAAAACGGCCAACAAACGGGCCAACCTGAACAGTGCAGCGACACCCTTTCGTCCCAAGAAGGCAAGTGCAACCAAAGCAGAATGTCATTCAGAAGCAGGCTGGCACTGTCCACTGTCCAAACACAGCTAAACACTTGTGATGGAACACTGAGGGCCATGTCAGAATATACCCTTGAAACATCCAACACGTTCCCATTGGGCACAATCCTGGAATTACGCAGTCCTCAAAGGCAAAAGTAAAGGCACCAGAAACACACTGTCGTCTCTCCAAAGCGACCCAGCAGCCTGGATTCTGGTCTCGTCCAATCTTTGCGCTCCAACGGAAGCAGAACGTAAAGAGCATGCTGCAGAGTCAGCAGAAGCACAACTGTGGAATCTGCCAGTTAAATCTGCCATCTGAACTCTATCTGAAGCCCAAACTGCAAAATCAGGAACATGGACAAAACAGGAGTGACGCGAGCAATGAGAATCACACACCGGGGGGTATCTGTCTGGTGTCTCGTCTGCGACAGAAGGTATGATGGATCGAAAACCACAGCGCACAAATTCTCTCTGTGCTTCTGGAGTGAATAAAAAATTGACGAAAGCCTCTGCTGCCTCACGGACTTCAGGTGGCCTCAGGTTGATATTTCTGCAGCACAGGCAGCACTGCAATGAGAGAGGCAGGTTTTCAAACTTGATTCTGCTCGATTCAAGACACACACTACTGGCGCACCAGGTCAGCCTCAATTTGAACCTTCAGCATTTAATGATAGGCCATCCAGTGCAACAACACCAACAATTGAATGCAGACAATGAATTTACACAAACTAATGTACAAATGACCCTCTGCTAGCAATGTTAACAAACTAATCTAGCAGCACACCACTGGCGATTCCTACCCACGAGCCCTCTTGTTCGATCCTGACAGCTTCGCAAGAGGGAAGATGAGCTCAGCTTTGAAACAAGAATAAAAAGCACTCTAAGGAATAAGGCACATTTTTCCTCAAAATTGTCAGGCTCTTGGTTCTGATGGAGTGAGGAACACATAAATTGAGCAGACATCGTGGTTTCTGTCATCGACAAACTCAGTAGAAGCCCTTTGTCAGTTGCAACAAATGCCGTCATAATCAAAACGTAGGCTGCTAAAATGACAGGCCAGTAGCAGTTCGCATCCGATAGTGCTACCCTTAAGCATAACACCACAATCCCCTTTTTTCCAGGTGACGAAAGTATACAAGAAGCCTTGCATGTCAAACTGCTGTTCAAAAGAACTGCATGAACAACCAGAACACAGATGCAGCCACTTCTGATCCACCATTCAAGACAGTAACTTGTGCTTGGGCTTGCCGCATATGGAGGGCATGCTTGGGCAGTGGCCAACGTGAGCGAGTGGCAGCCTCACTGGCCAATGCGACTGCCATGCGATCAGCTGCAGCTCCTTGCATCCCTCCCCGAGATCGTCCTGCCCATGCCCCCGCAGAGTGGTCGTTGTAAGTCCCAATTAATCGTGCTGTCTCCCTGTTGAACTGCACCCACCAGTGCCCATGGCTGGCTGCTCCCTTCCAGTGCCAACTATGCAATGCGATGAATGGGGATGCCTTGCAATCCCTCTGCCCCTTAGTACTTGGCACCCCCATAGCTAGCCAATCCCTCTCCAATACTGGTGTCACAACACGACCTCTGGCATGGCAGATAGGGATGCCAGTGTGTTTGCACCAGTTCCTTATCAGTTATCCTTATTCTTATTGGTTTCTCATAACACTTATCAGCCTGTTCCCCAGTCCCTGCATCCCCTCTGAGGGCAAGCAGAGTGCAAACATACACATAGTTTCAAAAGCAAGCTACTAAAATGCTATAGACTCAGGACAAAATTGTTAGCAGAACATTATGGCAGTTACTCTGAACACATGCCATACCTCTCACCTGTCTACAATAGCGACTGGCGCCTCAATTCGAATGTTGTATGTGGGGGCACTGTATGGCAGGGCATCTTCCTCGCCAACCATCTGGTTCGTCATATACACTTCGTTCTCATAAGTCAGCAATGCATCCCCAACTTTCTGCTTGTAGAACACCTCTGACGCCTCTCTGGCATCACGTGGCTGGACAGGGACATGGCGAAAGAAGTCTGTCAGCCATGCTTTTGCCTTGCTGTCACCTCTGCCCATGACGTTGCCCCACAGTGCCAAGAACGTCCACCGTGCGACTCCGGCTGTCTTGGGGTTAGCCGTCACAACTGACACATCGTTGCGCACAAGGTCGCTCCAATCATGAATGTTCTGCAGCCGTTCAACAAATCAGGAGCAGTTAAGAGCAAACCATGCCACAGTGTCAATATCCAATCAACCTGGTGCTGCCTCCTGGCATTCCCCAGCTGGCCACTCTAAGTCCAGAGCCGTTCGAAGCTCATTGGTGTTCTCAGCTCAGTGTTTGCTGTTCTCGCAATTCTCATTAAACTGGATGGAAAGCACATCTTCCCAGTTGCTGGCTCCATAAGTGAAATAACATTCAGAGAGCACATTGAGCAAAATGCTGTTGCTTGCAACTACAGCATCTTACGGGAGAGGAGCGTTCTGGGCATCCTAAGGTCACACAGTCTTTGCGACGTTTTATGAAATTCGCTAGCAGGGGGCTACAAGGAACTGGGTGATGCCAAATTGTGCCTCCAACTGCTGACGCCCCAGGCACAGCCCTTCAATCAGATACTTTCCTCTCTGCTACTATTCACTTGAAAGCGATCCAAAAGAGATTTTGTGGGACCCTACTTGTGCTGACTCACTGAACACAGCTGGCATACAAAGGCAAGATTGTGTCGTACAGCGACAAAGCATTTCCCGACATGGATCGTTTCCTTTGCCCATCAAGCAATGCCGATGCACTGCTTCTTCACGACAGTGGCAGGCATGAATCCCTATACATCACTTTCCAGAACGTTAGTTCACCCATGCCCACCCAGACAAACTGAAAATGAACCAAAACCCCTCCAAGCGATTATCCATCCTTTCACAGCAGGCTCATACACGCCGTAGCCCATCACCTTGGGGTTTCCTCTCCTTGTCACGATGGCCACCACAGACTCACAGGCAGTTGCTCCATTTGGTGCCCGGTTCCTCCAGTCTTTGTGGATCAGCCCTGCCTCGACTATCTTCAGGACGTCCAGTGGCAACGCCAGCGCCACAATGTCTGCTGGAAGGCCATCGATCACGGCACGTGCCTGAACTCCGCTGCCTGCAAAACTCAGCCGAAAACGCACTTCCCTGCCAGTCTTCTCCTTGTAGTACTGGCGGAACTTGCGTGTGATCTGACTGTATGCCATTCGTGTAACAGCAAAAGAGCAGAGGGTCAGCACGATCGGCGGACCAGGCTTTCGCGAGGATTGCTTGTCATCGTCACCTGCAAGGTGTAAAGCACACTTGTTCAAAGGTGAAATTCTATCATTATTTATGATTTGAATGAATTACTATAGTTGAATGAATTATTGTATTTCAATGAATTGTTTTTTATTGAAAATTCGCCAGGTTTGCATCAACCCAGTCTGGTGGTACTGAACATCTTTTGCCATAACGTCATGGTGTTAGTAAATAGCTTAACCCATTGAACTGATTCCTTCAAACACTGATTTCGAATGGCAATCCACAAAAGGACTTCCATGAGTACGTCTTGTGATCTTGCCAATCCTTTGGATCCCCAGCCAACAATGCTGATCCAGCATACCTGCCTCAGCGAGCAGATACTGTGGCTGTGGATCCTGTGGAGACCATGACCCATCCCCGTGGCCTCCGCCAGAGGAGGACCCCCCTGTGCCGCCACCACCAGGACCGCCTGAGCCAATTCCCAAGTTTAGAGTAGGGGCAGCCGCCAGCCATTTATACCCAGGATGGGGGGCAAACTCTGACGGGCAGTGGCTGGCTAAACTATGGTGTTGCCTCCACACGATGCCATCATCTGTTGATGCCTGGGGCACAGGAAACAGATGAGGTTACAAGGCTGCAGGCAGTGATTGGCTATTCTGAACACTTTAATTATGGTGTGCTGGTCTCCAAGAAATGACAATCAGAATTGCTGCAATTTTCTAATGTCGCATTGAGGTTACAGAACAAAAGTTGCAGATTCCAAATAAAGATTACAAGTGGAGTGGAGCCAATCAATCATCTAGGACAATTGTGCTCAAAGCACTTGCAGGTATCCAGCCCAAGTCTACCTGCAGACTCTTCACACCACCAATGTGGCACTTGGAAGTCAGCAGTTGAGAATTGGGTGCTTCTCAATTGTTGAATATTGGTGAGCCGGATACTGGTACAGAGATTTGAACACCCGATGTACAGATTGATGGACAATTGGTTTGTTTTAATGATAAAGCTCAGGGCAAACAAGAAAGCCTGCATTATGAGGAGTTGGCTGTGTGCAGGCCATGAGCTTTGCCTCATGCCCTCACAGCAGCCTGTATCCCACGCTCAAAACCTGGTAATGTACTGTTTGGAGGCCGCCAATAGAACTGCTGGTCAAATCCACCTCACCGTCTTGAACACTCCAAAGTATGACGCATCTTGTTCCAGAAATTCATATATCAGCTTGACCCCACCTATGGGCAAGTTCAACATGTGGGTACTTATTCCTTTCCTTTGAAGAATCCTAGACTATTACCCCTAAAACTCTCCACAGGCTTCTCTCTTGCAACTGTCATTACTGCTGTGCATAGAGCACATACCATACCCCTTACGAAAAGGACAAACGTGGACACAATTGGATGCAATGCATGGAGACCCCACATTGAACCCCGTGTAGACCCTATACACTGTGTCCATTTGCATTCATCTGTATAGTGGACACAACTGCACTCTTAGTGCTTGTTGCTTCATGTGACCAACAGGGTTTGCTTGTGCTGCTCCCATTGGACACCCAGATTCTGTCCATGCTCCTGTGACCCACCAGTAAACTGGAGAACAATAGACACTACAGGCCCCCGTTATGCCAGTGCAATCAAAACTACTTGCTCGACTCTGGAATATCAAACAGCAGCACTTTCTGTGGCACATTTTCTGATGTGCCTTTTGAAATTTTGTGGTGTTCATCAAGTGCATGCAATAGTTCAGTGGCATCGGACCCCAGGTTACTGCTTGGCATGCTGGGGAGGGACAGCCGTGCTGCCCCACTGCCTACTGATGTTTCTTTGTACACATTCTGTACAATGGCTGCATTGCTAAGCATGTGCATGTCAAAATGTTGGAATTCCTCCCTGTCAGCTTGGGAACCTCAAGAGCAGCAAACACATAGAAAAGTGTGCAACAATATGCATTCTATTCCTGGGCATCTCCAAGATGACCAGTCATCCAACTTCACCTGATTGAATGGGCGACACTGATACTGCAGAAATAGTTTCATTCCATCGCACATTAAAAAACGATGTCCTGAACCGCCGTCAAGAAATCCAGCTACATGCAAAGCATCTCGTCCAACCTGAGTGGTCTAGTTTACGAAGTAGATTCCCACTTGCATCCAACACGCGCACGGTGCAGACTGCCCCCACAACTCACCTTCCAGAATCTCCTGGCTTGCCTCAGCATCCTGGCAGGCATCCGGCGACACAGGTGAGCCTAGGGGGGCAATGGTTTGAGGAATGCGATGCAGAAGGATCATAGATTTCCTGGGGATGTGTGTGTTACCAGAAGTGCGGGAGTTTGTAAGGCTCCCCATGCACCATGCGCACCACAAGAGGGTCTGTGGGCATCAGAAACGGACAGGTGTGTCAGGTCATGCGCTTGTTGGCTGTCAACTAGGAGAGGCAGCATATCAAGCACCTGCACGAAGAGAATTTTGAAGGGCAGCAATACAGAAAACGCACAAGGAGAGCTTCAAAGAGCCCTTGGTCAATCCCCCAACTGCACAAAAGAGAAGCGTAAAGACCACTTCACAAAGAGAGCTTTTGAAGAATATCAGTCCAATCAACCATTTGCGACAAGACAATTTCAAGAGGACCCGCCCCAGCCAACCAACTGTGCAAATAGAAGAATAGAAGATTACTTGCACAATCGACCAATTGCACGTAAATAACTATGAAGACCCCTTGCCCAAACAACGAATTCAACGAACAGCTCCCACCCATCCAACTAATTGCAGATGCAGAATTTTGAAGTGAACCCACCCAGTCAACAAACTGCACCATAACTGATTCAAGAGCAGCCACGCTTTCCACAGCGGTAATTCAAGATTGTCGCATGCCCGTCCCAGGTGTCGCCCCAGCGGCCTCGGAACATTTCAGCCTTTCACCAACTCCGCACATGGCTATTCGGTCGACGTTCGTCGGTGCAAGTGAGCGAAACGCAACCGCACCGCGAAGATTCATCCTCTAGAGCCCATTCTCTGTACCACAACCCCTGCAATCCTTGCTGCAGCCCACTTCATCAACAACCGGAGGAGCTCATCAACAATCAAACCGCCAGGGCGCAGAATTGCGACCTTCCGCCATCCAAGTCCGCCAATTCTCCAGCAAACGTCGCAACGCTGGCGGCCAACGTCGTCGCACCACCCTGGCGAAATCCTTCTTCAACTGATCGCGTCTAGATCCTGGGCGCGCGTCCTGACGCCCCCCCTCGTCACCTGGCGCTCCGCCGACGGCCATCATCTCCAGGCCGCGCAGCTGGTCGCGCATGCAGCGCCTGGACCGCCCGCCTCGCCTCAGGCGTCTTCCCGAGGACCAAGACACGCGGAAGGACGGCGGCAGCGGCAGGCACGCGCCGGGAGCCGCGGCCTGCGCCGCCGGGGTCGTTGGGGACCCGGACGCCATGGCAACGCTGTGGCATCCTCGATTTACCTCCGTTCTTAAAGGCCCAAACCAGGTTCTTATGTTTCAAGATTAAACTTTAGTGTTAGGTTTACCCTTAATTCTTAGGCTACAAGCCTAGAAACTTGCAAGACCTTGACGTCCTTCACAACCGGAAATGAAGTGCAGAAAAGCGTACGTGCTCCACGCGTATGGGCTTGGTGGAACCCTTTGGATTTTCTTTCCTTTATTCTGAATATTACGTCACCTTTCGGTGTCGGGGTGCCTCCCCCGTCTTGTCACAAGATATGCGGGCCTTTTGCCACGTGGCGAAAAATTGCAAGGCTGCGTTTTGCTTTCCGCTGATTTGCACCAGGTCGAGCGTCCGCACGGCCAGACTGGGTCGAAACTCAATTTGGGCTCGGCGTTCCCTCCAATGAGTGCGGACCAGGTTGAACTTGACTGGATCAAACCAGTTTTCCCAAGAGAATAGACGGTTGGGCGACCCAGCGACACTGTCGCCAAGCCTCGACTTGCGCACGCTGCCATACACCCGCGTCGGACACGATTGGACTAGGGAAGACACTGTGTCGATTTTGTACACTTAGCGTCAAATTGATGTTAAGGAGGAGGGGGCCGGGGGGCAGCCATAGAAGCTGAGAGGTAACGTAATCGCATTAAATTCAAAAGAAGGTGGAAAGAATCAAAAAACGCCGTTGACCAGCAGCAAATAGCCCACGAATTGTTGCAGAACCTCCCTCAAATTTTCAATCATCCAGGTAGTGTTTAGAATGGATCAATTTTCAGGCTTTTGGCCTGCTCCCATCGCCTGTCATGATTTTTGGCATCCCTTTTTTCAAATCACCGCAATCGCTACAATTTTTGTCCTCTTTCTTCCCTGAAACCTATTATGAAGTTACGTGGCATTGTTAGGTAATGTTGATGAGTCCTCCTGGCATCAAATTAAGGATTGACGTCAAGGAAGGAGGGGGGAAGGTTTTCTTGGCTTAACGCCAATTCGACACTAAGCGTACAAAAATGAAAACAGCGTTTTCCTTTAATGCAAGGGGACTCCCCCAGGAGAATATATTAGTCCCTCCGTCCTTTCCATGAAAACCCCTTCATCTTCCGCTGACAAACCAACGCGGGTCAGTGGGTAAGTGTTTTTTAGGGTTGAGGGTGTCGAAACAAGAAAGGGGTCCTCACGGAAAAGATGGAGCCACTAATTTCGTGCCGTTCCGCCTGCATTAACCCCATCAAAACGCACATCAAGCCGCCAACGTTGGAGCCCTTTGGCCCAGCCGCGCCCACCCACCCACCCCGCGCCCGTCATGCGCCCCTGCCCTGCCTCCCCTCCCGCGCGGCCCAGAAGTTGGAAATTCTCCCCGGCACTCTGAACCGCGGCTGGAAGGTGCCCCAAGGAAAAGCCGCCCGGTTTTCGTGGGAATCCCTTTACCCTAGGCTGCGTCCCACCCCGGCCACCCCAGGCCACGTTCTTGGGCCCCCGAGGCCTTTCCCCCAACCCACACCTCTTTTTGTGCAACAGAAAGTGAGCCATTCAGGCCGCTTGGCTGGGACCGGTGGGGGGGCGCGGCGCCCGGGCGGGGATGGCGTCTTCGTGGAGCCGCCGGGGCCCGGGCGGCCGGCCGACCCGGCCGGTGGTGAGCGTGCGCGACGCGGCCAGCTGGCTGCGGGACTACCTCACGGCCATCAAGCACGGCCAGTTCCACCCCTTCACGCCCATCGAGCGCAAAACGCGGGAGGCGACGAGGAACGAGGCGTGGTACGCGCCCCCCCCCCCACACCCTCCCCGTCCCACGAATGTCGGGGCCACCGACTTGTGGCATCGCATCGCCGGCTGCCTGCTCGCCATGGCTGGCAACAGTGGCGCGGGGCGGGGCGCGGGAATGCTTCTTCGATCGATTTCCTCTCCCCTGGCGCCAGCGGGGAGGGCGCCCGCCCTGGGCGCCAATCGGCGCCACGTTGGGCGTGTCGGCGGGGGGCGCCTGGCGTGCTGCTCTTGGCTGCGGCCCGCCCACTCACTCGATCGCGTCGCCGCGCGACAGGGGTCCCACCGGCACCTTGCTCAACGAGCTGGCGGAGGCGAGCGGCCAGTCGGATTACTGCCAAATCATCTACGTGAGCCCCCCCCCTCCCCCTCTCCCCTCTCTCTCTCCCCATTCCCTCATCTCGGCGTCTGGGAGAGCGCAGGCGCCACCCCCCGGCTTGCAGCCCCGCATCCTCCTGGACTGCGGCAGCGTCGATCGCCTGTTCCTGGGAGGCCCCGGACCTTGTGCCAGTTTTTCGTTCTTCAGTTCCGGCCCTTGAGTGCTCATCGCGGGCGCCATTCCGGTGGGTCGGGATCCTGGGGTCTGGGCCAATCCGCCCACCCCAATCTCCACCCCCGCCGCAGTGTCCCGCCGGGATTTTGGTGTCCTGAGGATGGCCTGCAGGCGCGGCAGCCCGCTGATTGGCTGCTTGTGCGGGCGTTCGCTTCTTTTGCCCGAATCTGAGTTTTGCGCCTTGCGGCACAGGCTGTTCTGGAGGCGCGGCTGAATTACCCCCCGGAGAAATGGCGCAACGTTTACAAGGTTGGTTGCGGGTTGCTGCCACCAGACTTGAGGTGCACGTGCTGTGCCGTTTCTTTGATGGTGGGACAGGCCAGAGCACTGCCTGTGCCCCTCGGAGGGGGTGCATGTGCCGTTGGACGCCTGTTGGTCAGCCCCGCTTTTGGCAGTGTTTGGAGGGCTTTTCACCAACTCGGGCTTCTGTTTGCGACGCCAGGGGCTCCAGGTGCTGGAGTTTCTGATCAAGCGTGGCAGTGATGAGTGCGTCATGCTGGCACAAGCGGATCTCAGGCCATACGTCCAGAATGTCAAGAATTTCGACTACATTGGCCCCGATGGCAGAGACTATGGAATAAACGTCCGTGTCAGGTGAGGTGCAGCTATTGCTTGTGCCCACGATAGCTGTGCAATACCTTGTTCCAGTCGTGCTCTGCTGCGGACGTTGCTTGCTGAGGTTCTTGGTGCTTCTGGCGCACTTTGGAGCAGGATAGGACACCAGGATCTTGGAGTTGCAATTCATGTGGTTCGTTCTTAACCATGTGCATATGTGGCCACGCAGCTGGCTGTGCAGCTGATGCGAAGCCGGTCGCAACGTTCGATGTGGTCTTTGGGTGTCCCAAGCACGAATTGTGTGAATTCTTTGCTTGGAGCCCTGGATAGTCAAGTGTTCAGATAACCATCAGAACTGGCCTGTCACTGCGCTTTGTTGCCTTGAAGACACATGGGCAGTGCTCTAACGCTTTAGGACACGCAGTCGAACGACTGACAAATTTGCCAGTTCAGGTCCACTGGGCTGGTGGCGATGAGCGTGTCTGTGTGGGTTGCAGGGCCGATGCCATCGTGAGGCTCCTGGACAGTGAACAAGAGCTGAAGCAGGAGCGCGCCCAGCTCCAGCGGCGGGCGAAGCAGTTCAAGGGCTTCTCAAGGGAAGACATGGAAAACAACGAAGTCTTGGGGGACCTGGCTCCCCGTTCCAACAGCTGGGTGAGTGCAAAAGTGGTGTTGGAAGCCTGGGTGAGTGGTTTGTGCTGACTTGCACCTTGCTGCGCACCAGGCACTCTGTTGATCGTCGGCAACTCTGGTTGTGTCCCATTGCAACATCATGAACGTTTACGGATTGCAGTTGTCCGAATGCCAAGGGAAACGAAGCCTGTGCACATGGCAGGCAGCGACAAGTGCAGAAAGATCCAGCCACTGTTCGGTTCCTCAGCTTCATCGTTGCACGCACCAAATGTTACAATAACATCGATGGCAGGTATCAAAATGAGTTTGCTTTTTCACTTTGTTTGTTATGCTGCGATGTGCTAGGCTGAGTTTGGACCTGGGTAGGCAGGCACATCTGGACATGGCAGGTATATTGGGCTATGGAGCCTTGCTTATTGGTGGCATAACATGGTGACGAAATACTCTGAAAGATAGACTATCACTGGCTGTGATAGCAAGACGATTTTAGGGTTGGGAGCATGATGGTATGAGACTCTGTGCTGGGCTGCGTGTTTATGAAAAAAGAGATGAAGCATTGGGGAAGTTCAAACAGGAATGGGTGGGTGCGATGACAGGCTGGAAGCACGAGAAACGACGATGGTGCAGCCCATGAGCACTCCAATTTCGATGAAGAAGTGCATGGGCAGGTTGAGATGGCCAAGCACAAACGTGCTGGTGAGATGAAGGGGGTGTCTGAAGCGGAGAACAAGAAGCTGCTGCGGCTCTTGAAGGTGCAGCTGGCCAACAAGGGCAACCGGCGATGCGCCGATTGCTTGGGCTCTGAACGCCCAAGCTGGGCGAGCATCAACTGCGGTGTCTTTCTGTGCATGAAGTGTGCAGGAATCCACAGAGGCTTGGGAGTGCACGTGTCACAGGTACTGGCACCCCTGGGGAGTGGGCTGGCAATCAGTGCTTAAAGCACGGTGCCCAAACTAGCTGCAGCTTGGTGTTGAACAGTTTGGTAGTAAAGAGGCACCTTGGTGGCCTGGTGGTACTGTGTCGCCAGTGTTATTGTCAGCTCTAGAAAGCACATCTGGCTATGTGGAATTCGATGTGCTCCATGCATGTAGCCCATGGTTTGCTGCCTTTGCCCATAAATGCGGGCCAGCACTTTGGAAGGGGATGTCAATCCGATTTCACAAGGGTTCAAGACGAAGAGCCTACTGTTCCTCTGTCTTGTGCACGCATTCTGTCCACAGTGCGTAATCTTATCACCTAGTTGCCCCAGCAGTGTTTTGAAGGTTGCGTGTGCTTCCCTTGGAATGACAAGGCTTCAAGCTCAGCAAGCGCCTTTCAAAATGCAGAGAGGGCCGTCTAATTCGGCATGAAATACACATCACTTGTGGTGGGCTTTGCCTAAACTTCGGGTGCTGATGGGCAGAGATATTGTCAGTTGTTCCGATTCGCTAGTTTGGGGTTGCTGCATGCAGTGCTCAAAATGCGGCACTGGTGGATTGGCTACCAGTTTTCAGCATTGCGCCTGCACTACAAAATGGACACTGGCAAAAGACACCTCACAGGTTGTGAAGGATGCGTAAACCACCAAATGGTGCTTCCTCTAGGCTATGGGAGTGTCTCCTTGACAATGGATTCTTGGTCTTCATGTCAGTGCTGTGGCTGCCTCACAGGTCCGATCATGCACACTAGATACTTGGCTTCCTGAGCAAGTGAAGTTCATGTCACAGACCGGCAATCGCATTGCCAACAGTTACTGGGAGGTGAGTGGACTTGATGACACTGGGAATGAAGCATGTGCGTATAAAGTGCCGTGCATGTGTGCATGGGTGCACATGCATGCAACGATGTGCCAATGCTGGGATCGCATAGGGGGACGAAGTGCGGATGTGCTCTTGTTGCAGATTCACTGTCAGCAGTCGTCTTGGCTTGTGATGATTGCTCTTGTTGTCTCAGCTGAGCCCCAGACTATGGGGACTGCGGACACATCTTGGTCATGCTAATCTGAGGCCCAGTTTCAGTATTCTTTGCTGGTTTTGTCTAGAGGTGGGGTAGGTGTTTGCGCACTGTGGCTTACAAGTTGTGATTCGCATCAACAGTGCCTTGTAGCATCTCTGCAGATCGCTAGCCCCTTGCTCCTTGTTGTTCTGAATGTGCCTTTATGTCAATCAGCACTACCTCAAAGTGCGAGTCTGCTCACATCAAAACTTAGCAGATCTGCACCTGTTGGTCTGTGCCAGAGCCTGTCCCCTTGTCCAATTGTGTGTCCGTGTTCTCTTTTGTCACCACCATCGCAGCTGCTTCCATATTCATGCCACCACAAAGTCAGACCAACATGGGATGGCCTTCTGCCAATAGATGGCACACAGCACTTTGCCCAATCACTTTGTGGTGGATGTGAACAGGGTAGTCCAGAAGTGGATTTGTAGTATTATGGTACTGTACTTCTGCACTGTATTGAGTTATAGTGAATCAAGTGTCCTGACTATCCTGCCATGGGGCACCGGTTGGCCTGCAGGCGAAGCTGCCCCCGAACCTGAAGCCTGGACCCGATGACCCAAATTTGGGAAGGTTTATTCGGAGGAAGTATGAGAACAGGGAGTGGGCAGACGGCCCTTGGCCTCCGCCCAGAGACTCCTCCTCCCAAAATGAAAACACCCTGGCCGAGGCCTCATCCGCCTCGAGCACTTCTGGCACGGCAAGGCCTGCGGGGCTTCGCATCGCGAAACACCCATCGATGAGGTCCACAAAGCCACCATTGGGGGTGGCCAGGCAGTGGGAAGGGACCGCAGACAGCCCATTCGAGGCGGCAGCAGACTGGAGCTCAGCGGCTGGAGGCCACAGCGACTGGGTGGGTGAAGTCTATGCAGCGGAGTCCACTTGCACATTTACGGCAAAGGTCTGCTGCCAAGCCCTGCCAAGCGATGGCAGGTGTACGTTCCGTTTTGGAGAGTGTTTGTTCATCTCTGGATAATCCAAAGAACCAAAAGGAAATTGAAGTGAGCCAGGGTAGTTACCTAGCCAGGCCCGCAGTTTTTCACTGGCATTGTGGTGAAGATGACAGTTATTACAGTTCACCCCAAAGTATTATCGAAGCTGTGCCCTGGTTTTCAGAACGTGCTTTGGCAGATGCAGCCTTCCCCTCTGATGGTTAGCAACGAATTAGTGGGCGCATTGACTGCTGGTTGTCATGGCGCTTGCCTGTGATAGTAGAATGTTGCCCCCAAAGAATGGTGCAGCAGCTTGCATCTCCTCACTCCTTCGGTGGATGGGATCCCTGTCCTCCATTGTTTGTGGCAGCATTTGGGCCAAGGACACCAGTTCTTGACCTGAAGATTGACGGAAGGGCGACCTGAAAGTAGACTGAAATTCAGCCCCCTTGACATTGTGGAAAATTGGTGGAAGCATTTTGCCAGCATAGCATCCTCCAGAGCTTCCACTGGTGTGGCAGTTGGCCACAGAATCGTAGGATATTTGAAATTGCATATGCTGTACAGTATGTAGCAGTGTGGAATGCCATTTACCTTCTTGCACAGAATTGTGCCTTTGTGCCTAAATGGGCCCATGTGAGTCGAAGGCTTTGGTTGCATTGGCTTGCATCTTGCGCACTGCAGTGTTCTGTCCATGTGTGTGGCATGTTGCTGCCGTCTGACGTGCCACCACCCTTGTTTCTGTCCCACCAAAAGTCCATTCCTTTGCCAGGGTTAGCACTCAGGACTGTTCTTTTTGCTCTTCTAGGCTTGCCTGTGTTTATGCCCATTTGTTTTCCACGTCTCTTCTTGCCATAAATGGTGCATCAGCGCATGTTGTGCTTGGTTGCCCTCCAACATGTTCTCAACCCAGACACCATCTGGTTCGTATCATATGTGTGGTCATTTCAGCCAGAGAGTAAGACCTACACCTGCCAACCCACATGGATTAGGTGAGACCTATCCTCCTGCAGCACTATGTACCAGCACGTTTATTTCTGTTCAAATCTCTATGCAGGCTGCCAGCGCGAATGCAGATCAGCAGGCTCCCATGTCGTCATTGGCTATGAACCCCTTTGCTGGCGGGCAAGGGGCAACGATGCCCCGCACCATCTCCTACCCGAATGAAGACTTGATGCACTTTGGCGACAGTGGTGATTTCGGGTCCTATGCCAGTCAGGCTGCTTCCCAGCAACAGCTGCCTCAAGGAACCGCGCAACCACGGGTGCAGCTGATGGATATGCTGTACGAGTCAGGGAGGTGGGTGGAAGAACACAAATGGCCAGGGAACTTGTAGGGGCAGTGAACTTGTAGCGGCTATGATTCAGCTTTTGCATTTCTTAACACATGTTAACATCTGTTAACATATTAGTGGCCTTTCATGTCGCGTTTGAATATCAACGTACTCCACTTTCGGGATTTTCGACTCTGCACCCATCCTAGCTGCTGAGATGTGGGCATTGCGGTGCTTTGAATAAAGTGCAAGGTAATGGTGCTCCTGGTGTGCTGTTAGCCAGGGTTTGGTGTCCAGTATGTATTGTTTGAGTGTTGTTTCCTTTGGCATGTGTGTTTTGCTGAGGTTGCGTCTGAATTCCTATTGTTCCTGTGCACCCATCTTCGACCTTGCCACAAGGGACCTCTTCAGCAAGCGTTCTATTGGTCGCTTGCAAATGCATGTTGCCTTGCAGCCTCCGCCACTAAAATTCCTTGCTTGTCTGGGTGCCCTTGCTTACATTATCTGGCGCTCACATCGCACCTACAGGCACACACAGGTAGTCATAGGTTTCCTGTCCAGGAAGTCTTTCGCCTTCTTTATTCCCTTGTGAGTTCAGTGCCGTCAACTGGGCTTGCCCTTCTTAAAATCTTTGCTGTTCGACTACTTTGTTTTGGGGTTGTTATGGCCATCAAAAGATGCGCACACCATCACAAGAAGACGATGGACTAACAGGATGCCTTTTCACACAGGGGTGGCAGGCAGCGTGGATTCACAGAGCCCCTGGAGGGGGTGATCAGGACCACAGAACTGAGGATCGAGGATGACGATGTCATTCACACCACTGAGCTCATTCTGGACGACCTTGATGCGGGAATGGCAAAGCCCGCACTGTCGAGCGCAGACGGCATCCTGCAGTCAACCTCAGACTACCCAGAGTTCTCAAGCTTCCCCTGGCTGGAGTCGGACATGAAGGGTGCATTCTCATCGTCGCTGGACAGGGGCCCTCAATCTGCAGGGATCAATGCGGGACAGAACCAGGACCTGCACAGCGGCAGCAGAGCCCATGCCTCTGGATCCGTGACCCCCGACTCGGACACGCCCCATGTGTCAGTCATCATCACCGTCAACAACAAACGTGGCCGGGCCGGATCAGCTCCGGTACCTGCAGCCCAGCCTACACAAGCCACTGCCCCAACGTGTGCCCACCAGAGCATGCTGCCAGTGAACAGCGCTCAACCGTCCATGCCGGCCTACCAGTCAGACGTCCCGTCACCCCCGCTGCCCTCCGCGGCTGCGCCCACATCTGCACGGGACCCATTGGATGAGCTGTCGTCGACCATGCACACCGACCTGATGGATGCGCCAGTGCAGCTGTCGTGGGGATCAAGCAGAGGGGGCACAGTGCCACAGGCTCATTCCACCAACCCATTTGCGGGCCCCCCGCCTGTGGACCCCTCCTCCATTCCCAAGGGAAACCCGTGGGGCCAGCCAGCACCCCTGGCTTCGCCCTCCCCTGTGTACAGCAGTGCAGATCCATATTTCATGGGCAGCCAGGTAGCCGCCCCACAAGGGGTGGTGATGGGAGTCGCTGCCAGCAGGGGAAGGGAGGACGGAGCTTACATGCCAGATCGGATGGCTGGGGTGCAGTCTTCTCACACCCAGGCGCCCTTTCAGCAGGCTGCTGAGTTTGGGCAGCCTTCCTCTGGCTCGTTCAATCCCCAGGGCGGCGCCGTGTATGCCTGGAGCTCGGGACCTGCCAGGTACGGCGCGGGGCAGGTGGGCGGCCAGCACGGGAGGCGATCCTCAGGGGCGGGTGCGGGTGGGTCGAGCGGGGGTGCGTCTGATGAGCTGGAGAGAATGATGTACTCGCAGGTCGAGGGGCTGTCGATGCAGGGCGCCAATGTGGGGACCAGGGCTTGCTTTTCGCCCCAGAAGAGGATGAGCATGGCAGAGATGAGGAGTTACCGAGTCGGGGCCACGGGCTCCTCAGGTTCTGGCTGACCCTGTCCAGCACAGGCCTGGATTCTTTCTATTTGGCCTTTTTCTTGTCGCTGGGAAGTTAGGAGACCTCAATAAGCACTGCAGGGGTGGGGCGGGATCGCACGACTGGGCTGCTGTGTGCAAATGGGTTTTTGTGTTAGGGCATGCATTGACGAGGCATCCATTATCTGGGATTGTGCTACTCCTGTCGTTAAGATTGTTCATAGAGGCGAGGTCAGGACGGGGCAAGGCAGGGAGTAGGAAAGAGCGGAGGGAATTTTTTCATCAGCGGGGAAGAGGCAAGGCTAGTGGTTGGGCACAACAACGCTTTGAATGAGGTTTGTGGGGGCGATGGGCGGTGTTGCTGGGTTGCCTGTGAGCACTGATGAGCATTGATGGCCGTGAGCGAACAGTCAGCGAATGGCTGTTGAACCTTTGGGAGCTTTCCCCCATAATGCGTTACACGAGTGTTTGGAAATAGCATGGTTGCCCGAGTAGAGGACACGCGTTTAGAAGAAAGCAGCTCTGTGAAGGCCCTGGTCAGCAGTAAGTGCTGGTCAGACCGTGCATAACTTCTGGCGCACTGCGCCTGGGCATAAAGCGTGCCAATATGAATCCTGCCTTGTCGAAAGGGCTGTCGACGGCGCTGTTTCTTGGGGCCCAGGCGCTACTTTTGTGTCTCACGGTGCTGGTTGCTAAGGGGCACTGGGGAGGGACATGCCATGGTACCGCAGCACGCAAGAAAAGCACCATGCACATTCACATGCAGAAGGGCCTGTGCTCGCGCCCCGCTTCTCGCATGTGGCCATTTAGGTTCTCTTCCCGAAGGCGTGCGCCCTCAGTTCACGTTTCTCAGCCGCTCGTGTTCAGTTGGTGGCGGTGGAAATTTGGCAAACACGGGGGCAACGTTGCCCAATGCAACTTCAGCGCTTTGGGTCTGTCGTTCCAATGAACGATTACCTAACCTGAGCACATATGTGCCTGTTCAAGAAGTGCAGTGAAAACGGAACAAGGGAACTGTGTGCCATCGCAGAAAATGGCTTTGAAGTACTGCGACATATGCAACCCTTGCGCACAGTAATGTAACGCTTGGCTTTTTTTCGGAGAAATTCATAAATATTTATTAAGATACGCGGCAAAAACCGTAACGATGAATTTTTCCAATGCGGAAGGGGCGAATGCTTTTCGATATTTGCTGCAAAAACAAATAATTCTCCACGCCAGTGGGTTGTGTGGGTGCCAGTGGCATACAATTACTGGTTGCACCAAATCGGTGACTTTCTGCACCAAGTCTGACTGCTTTGCACCAGATCCCTCCAAACCTAACCTAACCTTAGCCCTAAACCTAAACCTGAGGTGAGAACCTAGCGTGCACGTGATTTGGTGCAAGCAGTCACCGATTTGGTGCAAGCAGTATTATTATTTGCACAGGCCCAGGCCTCCAGCTTCTCGCCAGCTTTCCCGCTTTCGGCCCCCGGCTGCGGCGCAACTCCCCTTGCCGCAGCCAGCCGTCAGACTCACAGCACAGGACACCGCTGCAGAGGCAGCGGACGCAGCGATTTGCTCACCGCACAAAGATTGCCCTCTGGCGCGGGGCGTCCAGCCGCCTCTCGCGGGCGCTGGGGAGGGCGGCGTGGAGGGCCATTTCGGGCGCCGACCGCAAGTGGGTGGATTCGCTGATTGGGAGATGCGGCGTGTGGGGGATTTGGGGCCGTGTCGCGCAAGCGTGTCGTCTCTGGCGTTACTGGACAATGGGCATCCCTTGGGCGATCGATCGTCGCCGGGGCCTTCGTTCGGGACGTCGTGGGCGCAATTTGGGGCAGGGTGTTGGCTGGGGCGTTGTTGGGAACGTGTGTGTGCGGAGATGTGGAAACTGCTGAACTTGAGGAAGGTGGCAGCAACCGGTGGAAATGTTTGGAATCATGGCTGCTGATGCGTCCTTGCTGCAAGGGCCATGGATTGCCGCTCTTGGGCACATTTTCTAAACGGATTTCGACAGACACCCGTGGTAATATTCACACCGTTACAGTTGGTTCCTAAATGCTCCGTCCATATTCAAAGAGGTGGCTGGGGAGTTAGCAAATAGGTTAATAGGAACAAATGAATGAACATATCCAAAAGAAGAGCTTAGAAAAGAGCGCGAAATTATGACCCACTGGTCATGTCACGTGTCTCAACGGAACTCCCAGAGTCAGACAGGGTCAGGTTTCTGGCAGCCTACACATGGCCTCACCATGCTTGGCCGAAACACACCAAGCCTCATGTCATCAGAGCGTGCAAGTACACAGGTCCAGAGGTAGCAAAAATAGCCAAATAAGAAGAACCAGGCGGCAAGAAAGCTGGCACCCCAAGTAAGAGAAGGCCAGCTGCATGCTGTTTTGCATTCCGAATGCCATAATGGTTGCACTGTATATGGAAGGTAGAGTAACTGTGTGCCCCTGGATGGACGGGCAGATGTGGATGAGGGTCGGCTTGGTTGCCCCGCTCTGTGCCAACAAACCATTTGCGATGACACTGAATCAGCAGTGGCTGCCATTGTGTTCTGCATTTGTGAGCAGCATGGCTGAAGATGCAGACAGTGGGCTGATCAGGGAAGGCAAAGCGGCCATCCTGCAGCATGGAAATGAAGTTTTCTATAACAAGGCACAGGTCAGAGTTTTTGGCTTTTTCGAGTGATGTGCTGTCATCTTAAGCTATAGCTGGGGTTCGGCTCAGATGGCCTTTGCCTCCTTAGTCCAAAAGCAATGGCCTCGCACGTTTCAGATAGAATTGGGTATGAATTCCACAATACTTGGCTGCCGCTGAGGTGTTATCATGTTTGGCAGACTTGAAACGAGATTTTCAGAATGTTTTAGGCTCGACAGGAGGCAGGTTGTTCTGATCACTGGTGGTATGGACCAGTGCGGTGGACATGAGCATTGTCCTCTGTCTGATGCACTGCAATTTGCACACTCTGATGTCCTCACTAGGATTAGTGAGAAAGTGTGTCTCTTGTTCATTTTGTTTGCAGTGTATTTTCTGTCGTTGGTGGCCTGCGAGACCTGAAATTTATGGGAAAACGTTTCATATGCTTTGCTCTTTTGTTTGGCCAGGTAATTTTATTATCACACTCATTAAGTACTACCTCTAATATTGCAAACACATTAGTAAAATGACATTTGTTACATCTTATTGTTTTTTTAGGTGTTGTGTAACAGTGCCCAATGTCGTGTGACAGGTCAAGGGAAGTGGTCAGTCCCTTTTTTTCAAATGCGGTCAATTAGGACTGTCCAGGATATGTTGGTTGCCGATCAGCACAACGCAGTGTGAAGCAGAACTCGAATGTTCTTGGTTTTCTGTAGATTCTTTTCAACTCAAGAGCAAATACTGGTTAGAGAGAAGGTATCCTTAAAGAGGGTTCCATTGGCATTCAGGGTCGAGTTTATTGTCATGTTCCTGGCGATGGTGTTCCAAAATACATGCTGGTCCGATTTTCCTTAAACACAAAGGCAGCCTCAGCATTCACCACCGCCAATGTGCCAAAGTTGTTCTTTTGCGATGCATACAAAAATGCACACAGCTGAGTTGCAAGCACATGGACCTCACCTCCACAGAAGGTCCTGACCAATTGAAACAGTTCTTGGTGTGAACATGACTGTGTGTTATTGCAGTTCCAAAACTATGACCTCAATGAATTTGGATGGGGCAGGATCAGGCAAAGCAACTGGCATGTTGAGAGCATGTGTCCAATTGGTCAGCACAGCTTCCATCGGAAGGCTGCATCGTGTATGTGTTTGTGTTGGAATTATGAATTACCAAGAGCAATTTTTGTAGATGGTTTGATCGCCACCAGCGATGTCATTTAAGATGGTGCTGTGTCCATCCCAACATCCCAGATTCAGGTCCGATCCCACCGTCTCGTTGCGTGCAACGTGTCTTGAGTTGTATGCAGGTAAGTGACAATTTTTGTGGCTGTGAAGGTCATCAACAGGGACCTGTCCATCGCTGTGCTAAAGTACTTTGCGGAACAGAGGGAGGCAGAGATAGCCAGCGGCAAGCTCAACCTGAACAAGCGAAAAAGGCTTGACAAGCAGAGACAGGCAGTGCCGATCTCCCCTCCTGTCGAAGATGTAGGACAGTTGTGCAGTGTGTGGTGTCCACACACTGTGGACTTTTGTGGGACATATCTTGTGGAATGCGTTTAGCACAGCATCTTCGTTGTATAAATTCAGCATACAGCGAGGATGCAGCAGTTGGAGCCCCATGAAACGAAATTCCTGCCCACCTTAGCATGAGGCTGAGCAGAGCAGTCTGTATCAAATCATAATTGCGTTTCTTTTTTTTCGTCACCACCAGTTTTCAGTCTACCCACCCAGAAGACACTGCAACAGTCAAGCTGTTGAGATGATGTGTGACAATTAAGACACAATTCTGCTCCACAGACATGTAGCGAGTGCATGAAGTGAGTGGCTAAGGGTGGCAAAGTGGGGGCAACATTGAAAATTCCAACCTCCTGTTTCAGCATTGAGCGCCCCCTACCTGGATGTCATGCTTTTCCTGTTGTACTTGGAGATAAGCCTTGTGCTACTCATACACAGGTATTTTTCTCCACAGTGCAGAATTCAGATTCCACAAACAGCATGAAAGGGAATCCCAAGAACTTTGTTTATGGCAGGATAGGCTGGGAGGGGCCATGCTCTCATTGCTGTCAGGAATTGATGTTGTTGAGAGTCACAGCTACCCCATTTCTCCATTCCTGATAATATTTGCTTGCTGTCCAGACTGTGAAAGGCCTCAAGGTGCTGGAAGGGCTGGCAGCATCTGGGCTGAGAGCCGTTCGCTATGCACTGGAGGTTAGTGGCAAAGCAACGGGGATGGATGTGCCCAAACTCATGCTGTTTTGCTTGAGACATTGATTTGTCAATGATATGGCACATGGCTTTCGGTTGAATTCTCTTGTCTCGCTGCAGAAGCGATGTCTGGTCAGCTCAGCGCTCAGGATGTTCATAAGCCATTGATCGCATTTTCAACACTCACAAAAAATCATCCTGGGGCACCCAAGCTGTACAGAAGGGGAATCTAGGCATGCTTACGGCAACACCTCAAACTGCTGATGCAAACCCTTGGTTTCAGCAGAATGCAAATGCAGAGGGTGGTTCTCATTGGTGACATGACGCTATCTGGTGTTTGCGAATTGTGGGATAGTTGGTGGTAAGCCTTCATGATCAGGTCATCAAATGTTGGAATCATGTGATACCCACGATCTTACAATACAAACCCATTCCCTGCAAAGAGCTCAGAGCTATGATCTGGATATCTTCCCATTACAAGCCCTCTGGATAATCCTGCAAAGTGTGCGGTGGATGGAGATGCCCATTTGCAGAAGCTGCCGAGGCTCACAACAAGGACTCAAGCACTGCACCACCATATCCATTATTGTGCCACACATCCCAGTCAGTTGGACAGGTGTCAATTTGGCGAAACGTGGCCAGCGGCTCTGAGGACAGAAACTGGAAATCAGCAGCTTAGGCATCTAGATGTGATTTTGAGTTTCTGTTCAATGACGAAGTTTCACATGGCACTTGGATGCTATCTGTATGGATTTACATCAGCCACTTCCTTAAAGCTTCCTTAAAGCTTTGAGTGCAGCGCTTTTTCTTTTTTAGCAGGGCAGTCAGAGGATTGACATGCACAGTAGTCTTGCTGCCACTTTCCATTGCGTGAAATGGCCTTCTGGCTTTCCAGGTTCCACAGGTTGGAAGAGTGGTTGCGGCAGAGCTGGATGAGAAAGTCGTGGAAGTGATGAAGAAAAATATTGATGTGAATGGCCCAGAGGCAAAACAGAAAGTTCAGCCACTGCACGTGGACACGAGGCTGCACATGTTGCAGAATCCTGGGGTGAGAGCGTTTTTCTTTGTTGACGGTGCTGACACAGCAGTCAGTCCAATTCATTTTCCTTCTAGTTTTCTCGACTATTCTACTTTCTTATTGTGTTTCTTTTATGTTTGCTTGTATCACTGTTGGTTGTCCATATAATGAACAGGAGAATGCACTACCATAGCACCTGCTATGGCAACGGACGGCACTGCTCCTACCGCATGATTCATTCGAGAGCATCGATTTACTTCTCGCTTAGATCCTTGACTTGCACCTCTAGATTGGAATGTTGACTTGCATCCCTGGGGTTGAAACTCAGGTGTATGATGCCGTTGATCTCGACCCATATGGCACCCCAGTCCAGTTCTTGGACTCCGCAGTTCAGTGCGTTAGCGAGGGTGGCCTCCTGATGGTCACAGCGACGGACATGGCTGTCCTGTGTGGCAACAACGCCTCAAGCTGCTGGGTAAAGTACGGCTGCTACGCCCTGCACCGCCCGTACATGCATGAGCAGGCGCTCAGGATCCTCTTGGCGTGCATCGAGGGTCATGCAGTCAGGTGGGAGAAAGGAGATGCACAAGGGGGCAAGGGCGCCATCAGCTGATGGCATGCTGCAGGTTGGAGCCGGCCCCCCTTCCAGATGTGTGTATATGTCTTTTCACGTGAAGTGTGTACAAGCAAATGCTGATGTAGCATATACTTGCATTCTTTCGCTTTGATTCTGATAATTTAAAACACCTTGAAGACTTCGATGGCTTCGTCCTGGAAGGGCATATGTGGGTCTTTGGCCACTGCACATAGTGGTGTGGGAAGATGCGTGCCCTACAAAAAGATGTTCCATTTCTTCTGGGTTGCCATACCAGGGCATTGCCAAATTGCATCTGCCACAATGTTCCTGCAGAAGGCAATCAAGCACACGCTAAATGCTCCATTCACCACGTTGTTTCCTAGCAGACATCTTGTATGTGTTGCAAGGCTGTCTGGTGTTCTGCAACATCATCACTAACACCACAACACTTCCGCAGCAGGAAACTAGGATCAACCCAAGTGCAAGTGAAGACAGTCTTGCCAGCAGCCACCCTATACTTCTGTACCACACGTGCTGTGGACCGAATAGAGAACAGTGTCTTGAAGCTGGAACATATTGGCTTCCCAGTTGCTGTAACATGGAAAAATTGTTGGAAATAGAGAATGTGCATGTGCCTTGGCAGAGACTGTGCTGGATATTCAACACAGTGTAGCGAACGATGCTTGTGAACATATAATTGACAGTTTATCAAAAGTTGTTTTCCCTACACCCATTGAATGGGATTGTTTTCTTGACAATGCTTAACAATAATTTCGGCGCCAGTTCTGTGCACTGGCAGCTGATCTTCACAGTGGGCTGTGGACGTGCTATTGTGAGTGAGGCACCCAACAACTGTGCCAGCATGGGGCTCTTTTCTGCCAGTTGCTAACAAGGTACTCAGGTTGTACGGTGCTCTTGAACTGCCTGTGTCTGTATCAGAAATCCTGCAGGATGGGTAATGCTCCACTAGGCACCTACACAGCAAAGGGTACTTGTCTTCTGCCACTGGAACACAGCCCTTCATGGTTAATACAGCTCACTATGGAATCCATCTACACTCAAGACCAAACCACTCTCGCTGCCTGGTGCTGGAAAATTTGGCCTTAGAGGGTGCTTGCGTGCTTCTGATAGGTACAAGCGCCACATTGTGCCCGTTCTCTCCCTGAGCGTTGACTTCTACATTCGAGTTTTTGTCCGCATCTACACAGACGCGAATGCAACCAAAGCATCAGCGACCAAGCTCTCGTACATCTATCAGGTGAGGAGCAGTCCAGACTGCCGCCTGCTCGCAAGTCTGCATCAACACCTCTTGCTTCAGCCGAAGAATTGCGCTTTTGCACATTTCAGTCTGCACATGAGTCGCGCCGAACTGTTAGCAATACATAAGCAATGCGCCGTGTACATTGCTGTGGGATCCGATTTTGCAATCGTAACGGTGTCATTTTGGTCATTTGAGACCAGCGTCTCCCAGATTTCTTTGGCGTGCTCAACCAAGTGCAAGGGCTCGTGGCATCGTGCACGGTTACGAGAAAACGGTTTTTTCAAGTTCTGCCCAGATATAATTGGTGTTCTTGAATCGTGGAATTGTGTGAATGGTAGCGTGTATACATGTGTGTAGTTTTTGTTGTTATTCATCACTTATTATTAAATAATATCATAGTGTATGTGGGTATTATATCTGTATAAATCCTGTTGAAAAGGAGCCTAGTCGTGTTTCACCATGTTGATTTTCGCTGGTGGCGATGTGAGCTGTCGCTTTATGCTCCCTTTTTCCGTCATGTATATGTTCTTCTTTGACTACCCATTCAATTTTGTCAGATCAGCACTCTGCCGCTGCAAAACGGAATCATTTGCTCGCCAGCAGCGTGTGCTCGGCTCATGGCATTGATTGAATCATATTGCCAGGGAGTACTGAGGGCGTGAAAGTATGTTGAGCAGCCACCAGCGCTGTTACAAGCGCACTGATTCGATACACCCGTCGGATCAGGTGTCGAGTTTTGTCCATTGTGCGCCCCATGGCGCACACTCTGTTGCTGGATGAGAATTGGACTTGGGCAAGGAAGATCCGTGGGCGGATAGGTCGTCCCTGACAGTAATCTGGCCATTGCCCCCAATTGTTGTCCGTATTTGAAAGTGTATGATTCTCTGTAGTTTGGGGCGTCACTTGCACACTGTTCGTCAAAGCGGAAGCCGCGTCCGTGGCCGCAATAGTGCTTCTGGCACCTGTCGCCACCACAGCGCTGCAGAGCGACGTGATGGTCTGCTGCTTTTGGTATGCTATTGAATGGAATAACGCATAGGTGGTGTGATTGATTGACGGCTACGCTCTCATCGTTGTGGGTTCTTCTCGGACTTGTTTTGGCTCCGCCTGAGAGCACCTCTTGGCAGAGAAGGTTCATGGGTCCATGACTGGTGGATGTTACTCAATCATGGATTTGAGTAGACTGTTCAAGCGGCGCTGTTTCCCTAATGCTGGGCAGATGTTTGGCGGGCTGCCCACCTCCTTGCCTTTGCAAGGGGAATCCCTTATCGATGCGCACGGGCTTGTGTCTGCACACCAATCCAATCGAGACTAGGGACAGACAACACTTCTCCTGCGTGCAGAGTCAGGGCTGCGATTCCTTTTACCTCCAGCCCGTGGCCGTGGAGAGGACCCAGGGGAAGCAAACAAAGTTCACTGCCGGCACAGGGCCCGTGGTCCCACAGGCGTGCGTCGAGACGGGCAGTGGCTTCCTGGTTGGCGGGCCCATTTGGTCAGCGCCCATCCACGACATCGACTGGGTGAGGGGGATCCTCAGCGCCTTGGAGCAGGAGCGGGCGAACTACAAGATGTTCGAGAAAGTGCAGGGGTGGGTGCCGCAGCTGGCCCGTCGCTCTTTGGAATCCTTTGGTTGGCTCTCTGAGTGCCTCTTGCAGTACCGGTTTCTACTGTCATTGTTCCAAAGCCAGCCGTTGTGCTGTTTTGCCGTGTGTACCCGTATTGTATTGGTTTGTTTCAGGACGCCTGTCGCTAGTGTTGTTCTCCAACACGTAGAGCTGTCTCCTGTCTGGCATTGACGCTTGCCAATCTCGCGCTGCCCCGATGACGAAATTCTAGCTTAGCGTGTGCTGACCAGGGCAAGGAATTGAATCTATTATGTATGTGATCTTATTATACAAAATTATAAGACATAAGATTATATACATGATTAATTAACAAGGTTATGTATATGATCGTATTTTGAAGGCCAAAAACCCTCTGTCTTTTACTCCATGGGGGACATGAGCATGGGCTCGATCATGCTGGCGAAGGCCTGCTGCGCCCTTCAGATAAGCGAGGAGCCAGGGTATGGCGCATGGAGCGGCCCCCCGGATTCTATGCCTCGAATTGCGAGTATAATTGGATGCGTGACACGCAGTGCAAAGTACGAGTAACAATCTCGGCAGAAAATCCCATATCCCAAGACATGAAAAAGCGCCTTACACGCGGTCTACCTGGATCTAACGGAGGACGTGCGCAGCCTTCGCCGCACCCGGAGCAAAAGCGTAAACGCAAAATTGTTTGATGCGGAAGGGTTGAATAAACTACGGTAGCTCCTGCGCTCTCCTCGGCCTTGAAAGGCCTTTTGAAGACCCTACTTTATCGCATGCTGAACCCTTGTGCCTGCTCTTGGCCTTCGGGCTCTCAGCCTCCTGACGGCCGCCAGCGAGGAGCTGCAAGACGTGCCGTTGTACATCAACGTGCACGAAATCTGCAAGACCGTGAAAACCTTCCCTCCCCGCGCGGACGCCTTTGCCTCCGCCATCAAAAACGCTGGCCACCGAGTCTCCGGCACCCACGTCACCCCCCTTGGTCTCAAGACAGACGCCCCCTGGCAGGTGATGTTGTGGCTATAACTGATCGAGTATTGTTAACAGCTGGACGCATAAAGAGATGATGAGGCATTAGGAATTGCATTAAGGGCATTGCTGAACGGGCTGGATACAAGGGACAGAATTCCTGTTGTCCCTTTGCTCAGCTGTAAAGCGTTGCCGTGGACTCGAGCATACAATCCCCAGTCGGGCGTCGCCAGCCCTCTTTCCTACCTACCTGCGTCAGTGGTCCCAAAGAATGTCGACAGCGACCAAAATTTTCATTGAAGATTCCTGTATTGTATGCAATTGTCTGTATTGTAGTGTTTGTTGCATTCTATGTTTTCTACTTGGTTTAGTGCGATGTAGCCGCACATTTTGTTTGGTGTTGCTCCCAAAAAATGCCAAACATAATGTTAATATGCTGATGGGTTTATGAAAATGCGGTAATGAAATAGAGAGCTGACATGATGCGTCCGTTTGGGCGCGCCCTTGCAGGTCATCTGGGACGTGATGCGGACGTGGGTGCGGGACCACCCGGGCAAGGCGCAGGACCCGGACAGCTACAGCGGCAGGCTGCTGTCGCGGCCAATCCTGACCGAGGTCCGCTTTTCTCACGGCGCGGCGGGCAAGGCCAAGGCCAAGAAGGGCGGTGTCCGCAAATACCTTCCCAACCCGGAGGAGAACTGGGGCCCCAAGAGCAGGCACGGGAGGAGGCCCGGCGTGGGGGGCAAGGGGAGGGAGTGTGCCGAGGTGGAAGCTGCTGGGACGTCGGATGGGGATGGGGGGGATGCGGGGGATGGGGATGAGGTTGGAGGGAAGAGGGGGGGCGGCGGTGTGGAGGACGAGGAGGGGCGCAAGCGGAGCAAGGTGGGCGTGTGAGGGCTAAGTTTCGCTGTGGAAAAATTGCGCTCGGCGGGTAGAATTGTGGTGGCGTTGGGCGGAGAGTTTCCACGACGGTAGGAGCCGTTTCTTCGGGGACGAAGGGGGGAATCCAAGAGGAGCACGACGGAAGCGAGGTTTTGTTGTGGAGGGTGGCCGCTGCGGACGAGGCGGCCATTTATGTGGGGGAGTTTTGGCGGCTGCCGCAGTCGGTTGGCTGCGACACGTCGATCCTTAGGCGGGGCATCAGGATGCAGCACTGACGCGGCTGAGGCCAGGTCAGGATTGTCCCTCGCTCCCTGTCCATACTTGCACGTTGGTCGTTGGACATTTCGTTGACCGCACTTGAGCATTGTCCCAGTGTCCGCGCCTCTGGTAGCAACACCGTTGGCAGCACCATCTGAGACACTGATCGTGCCGCTGTGAGTTACACCGTCGCAACACAGGTGAGCGCCGTTTTGCTTACTTCGAAGCAAGCAGATTTTTCAAGGGTTCTTTGCAGAGGGCGTCAGGCGATAGCTCTCTGAGTCGCAGCAGTGCAAAATCAATTGGACGTACGGTGCAACTCGCACAATCAATTGGTGCATTGCACATAGAACCGCTGTGTAGAACAGTGTGTGTTTTGAAGGGAAGGCGGTAGCGACCAAACACTGTGCTCATGGCATGACAAAACCTGCAACGCGATCGTCCTTGCAAGTGCGACATTCTGACCGATTTCCTATCCGATCAGGAAAGGCCACAACTGCTGCCACACTCGTCTCGGATTGTTCCCCTCACCGCAATCGGCATTTTCGGCTTCAAGGGCAGCAGGTTCTGGCCAGTATTAACACAGCATCCAGATGCTCCATGCGGAGTCATTCCGGCGAATGGGCGAGTCGGCAAGAGTGCAACAGCCACGGGGAGGACATTGATCGCAACATCAAACCATCAAAATGCGCCGTACGAACATAACGCCTGACAACAGTGCCTCGACTCTGTCTGCCGGCACACAGCCGTCCGCCAAAAATCTCAACAATGCGAACCACAGTGCAGCAACTGTACAATCGTGGGGCTTCCACAAAGCGCTCAATCGCCCCGCCAATCCATCCATGCAATTGCTCAAATCTCTCCAACTAGCCAGTCATACATAAAGACCCAAGTCCTTTCTCTTCCCACAAAACCACAGGATCGACACTGCCAGGCCCTGGGGCACGAACAGATGTCTCCTCAAAAAGGCCAACGAAAAATGCTCCCCGCCTACCCTGCTTTCCTCTCATGGTACAAAAACAAAGTACAGCCAAAACAACGCCACAGCTCGAACACAAAACCTCCAAATAACGACTTTGTTGGAGACAAACACATTAACTCACATTCGTTGACAGCAACGCGTCCCACCCCGCCCCCAACAGGTCGTGTAGATTCGAAGCCTTGGGGGTCAACAACGCCCAGAAATCGAAAGAGGAATCAAGGGTGGTCCAGCCATGCTCAAAAACGCTGCCTGAAACTTTTGCTTGTCCGGATTCTTGCAGCAGCAGCCCCCATATCCTGCTTCTACGGCCCACTTGGAGCCCTCAGCCAGTCGTTCTTTCCATCGTCAGCACCTGAAAGTCGCAAATTGAAAATCCCATCAAAACATTTCCGTCTGATGTCCGTAATGCTGCACTAACGGGGTCGCACCCGAACTCCTCAACGCGACACAACACTTTAGAATAGAAAAACACAACTGGTGCCGGCAGCCATTGCCTAAATGATAAAGTTCTGAACCGGTGTCAATGGTTGATAACTGCCTTCAACACACTTGCATCCATACACCACCTCCACAGGTAGCCACAGCTACCATGGACAAGGATTCCATCAGGTTTGGAGGGGTACACCTTCAAGAAGACTGATTCATGAGTGTCGAGAATCAAGTTTCGGCGCCCATGCAATTAGCAGAATGTGACCTATGGTGCATGTGGCACAGTGCCCGATGGCAAGCAGGAAAGGAGAGGTGATATTCGACAAACTGGAGCACAGAGAACCCGCCCACAACTGTGCAATAGAGAACAACACAGCGGTGCATTGGGATTGGCCTGAGCTCCTCTGTGGAACACAAAAGCGAATACCAACCTGTGCAAGCCAGCAGGCTGCCATCTGAGGGCTAGGTGATAAACTGCATATCTAGTGCAGCTTTGGTTCGACCGTATGAGCAGCATCCAAACTGTTCTGGGCACTGTTCAGAGCACCCAGGCAGGCATACAATCTTCAAAGAGATCGTTGCCCACTGTTTCCCAATCCCAAATACCATCGAGAGGTGCCCCACGATCCCTGCACGCCTTGTGCAGTGCCAATACTACGTTCAACCCCGGATAATCTCTGGATGCACTGTTCATATTCAATCGGACTTCTCTGCCATCATTTCCATGGCAGTGAAAAAGGGTCTCAAGACTCCCTGTGCAGGAGGCGCGTGTCTACATGCTGCCTGCTTCTTTGTTCAGCCGACAATCCTCTGCATCACTCTTCACAGAGCATCCTACCTAAGCAAGGGTGCCCCCTTCAACTCTGTAAAACAATACAGATCTTGCCATGTGGAGGCTTGGATTCCCTCCGGCCCAAGGTGGCCAAGCATCTTCTAGGGCACAACGGGGAAGCCCATCCACACAGTGTGTCCCCGAAAGCTTGCACCCCTCTCCCCACCCAGCCCCCCCTCGCTGGCGAACATTCCTCACCTTTGCTGTTCTTGCACCTCAGCAACATCTCCACCGCCCACAGGTGCTTGTCCACCTTGTCTGAATCCAGCCCGAAGACCACGTAGCACGACCGCCGGGATTCGTCCGAGTCACAGGGTGAGCAGGCCTCCACGGCGTCCCTGCTCAACGCAACCACCGGTGTCAAATGCGCACTGGTGGCCCATTCACCGGAGTGAACTAATTGATGGCCTTCTCCGAGAACAGCAGGTCATGCTCATGGCCTGAAATGTATGGCCGACTCCCCCAAGACAGCAGGCCCTTGCGTGTATTCCTGCCCCCTGGGTGGGCGCTTCTGTCCCGTCGAGGCCTCGGAACTAAGAACCAGACGTTTGTCAAATTTTGGCATGTTTAGTCGAACGGATTGGCACGGTCATTCGATGCAAGGGCAGCTGATTGCCCGCCACCGCCAACTGCACGCACCACAGGACGGCGTTTTCCGCCCTTGGCCACAGCGGACTGCGAGGCAGACGGCGGCCTGCGAGGAGTGTTGTGGAGTGTCCCTATTGCGCTCGGAGATCTCGGAACAACCTTCCGTGACTCTGGACACTTTCGCGCGTCGTTCTGCTCGTGGGGAGGGGGCATAGCTCGGCACACCTCCCAGTCCACGAAAAGGCGAACTTCGCATTGTGGGCAATGTGACGCGGGCGCCGATGTGCGCCGCAAGGGGAAGGGGCGCGCGCCCGTTGCACAGATCCATGGCCAGTGGAAGTCGCACTGGGATGTCGACGACCCGACACGACGGTCCACAAAGCACACGCGAGGGCCAAATGCGGAACCAACAGAGGGAGGCGCGGTCTTTCGAACAAGCCCAACACCGGCGCGTCCACACAGGATTGCATCCCCGCCCTCTCCTCCAGCTCGCCACCCGCTGACTACACTTCACGCTATGCCATGTCAGGGGCGTTCGCCATGTCGGCCCCGACGCGCTGGAGCACGCGCGAGCAGGCCCCCTGCGATTCCTTGGGTGCACCCGATCTATGCGATGCCCAACCGCCCGCGCCAGTCGCTCCCGCCGTGGATACCCCTAAGGTGAAATCAACCCGGTGCGCCTTTTTCTTGCGCCGCTGGTAAACCCTCAGCGGACCACACTACCCATGGATCGGCCGACCGCCCCCACGCCCACCCCTTCCCAGCCCCCCTCCCCGCAAACAAAAAAACAATCCTCCCTCTGAAAACGCCCAACCGCGTCAAAAACCCACCACCTTAAGGCGTCCACGTAAGGCGCCGGGAAGAAAGCCTTCCTCCACATGATTCATTTTCACTCACCACCCCAACGGCCCCCCCCCCTCTTTCCCAGCCCACCTCCCCTCCCCGCGCAAAACATTTCATCCTTCCCCTGAAAGCCCTCAACCGCGTCCAAAGCCCACCACCTTATGGCGTCCACGCAAGGCGCCTGCAAGGAAGCGTTCCGTCCACATGATTCACTTTCACTCACACGATGGCCCATCGATGGCCCCAACCGGCCCCCCACTGCTTCGCAACCCCGATAACAAATCCCAAACCGGCAGCGCGCTCCACAACCCGACGATGACGCCACCCGCCGGCGCAGATCCCCCCCCTTCGCCCACCTGACGTCATGAATCGTGGTGTGCAGCATCGGCACGATGTCGAAGACGCCGCGGTCCCCACCCTGGGACGCCGCCGCGCGCCCGGGGGCCCTTCCCTCCCGCCCCGCGACGCTCCCCTTCGATCGGATGCCCCGTCGAGGAGCCCCCACCTCGGGCAGGGGTGGCAAACCGCGCACCGCGCTGATTGCCGCCGACATGCCGATCCCGATTTGGCCAACCGGTGAAAAGAAAGGATGCGGCGGGGCCCGCGAGGCGGGATGCGGAATCGGGGTGGCCGGGTGAGGGCGGGGAGGGGGCGGGGCGGGCGGGGAAGGGCGGAGGCGACCTGGGCTCGGGCTGCTCGCGGTGGGAAGGGGAAGGGGCTGGCTGTTGTGGGTGGCAAATCGGCTGAGGCGACCTGACGAGGCGCAATCATTCCGACACGTGTCTATGTGTGGACATATTCGCTGACCTAGATATGCAACATATCTTGGAGGAAGAGGAGGAGGATGTATCCATTCGTGTCAATCCCGGTGGTAAAGCGCGTGCTCATTGTTGGTGGTTGGATTTTTCTGCAAGGGCAAATCGGGTGAGGAGACCTGGCGAGGTGATGTCGTGCAGAGACATGTCCATTGGCGAATGGGCTAACTCCTGTCAATCCCATCAACCTTGGTGGCCAAGAGAAGTACCCGCTGCTGGTGTTTGGTTTGTGGATGTCCATCTACAACCAACTCATTAATGGTGC